TTGTGGAGAGAGGTTTTGACCTTCGATTTTTCTGAAATGAGTGTTCTAGACGGAAAGGATAGAGTTGGTTCCGACAATGAGAAAAAGTGCTTGCGTGCAAGAGGGGCCTTCACTATGAGAAAGAATAGTGGGTTTGCATCGGGTACCTTCTTGGATAATAGCTTTAATGCTAGCATGCACGAAGGGCCTAAGTGTGAGACAGAAGAGAGGGGCTTTAGCGCGAAATAGAAAAAATGGTTTACAGAGTGTCTTCTTGAGTCACGACTTCAATACTTGTGAGAGAGGAGTAGACTCAAGTGCGAGAGAGAAATGAGGGTTTGTAGAAAGTGTTTTCTTGGGTCATGACTTCAAGGTCTGTGTACATGAAAATAAGTGATAAGCGTCAAAGTGTATCTCTTGGGGTCACAGTTTCACGGCATTTTAAAAAACAGAAATGATTAGTGATAAAATATTTTTGTATCCTTCAATACCAGAACAAAGAATTTATTATTGGTGATAAAATATTTTTGTCTTCCACGACTTAACCTTATGAGATGAAAAATATATTCGTCACGCAATCAATTAGAATTTATTAGTGACGAAATATTTTCGTCTCCCACAACTTATTCTTCTGAAACAAAAATATATTTGTCGCCTATTTAATAGAAAGATGAAATGACATTGTTTGCATGATGGAGTGTTTATTGGTGACGAAATATTTTCGTCTTCCATAACTTATCATTCCCAGACAAAAATATATTTGTTGCCTAATAAATGGAAATATGTAACGACATCGTTTAATAAGTATGGATTTTATTGGTGATGAATTACGTTCGTCACAAAAAAAAATTATATTTTGTGACAAAAATGTTCGTCTCCAATGAGCTAAAATAATTCGCGCCAATGCAAATGAAATTGGCGCCTCATTTTTTGCACACGAATTTTTGTTTTCGTCTCCTATAATTCTGAGAAAAATTAAAACAAACGACAAAATTAATATTTTGTCATCTTTCGGTTAAATTTTAAGATAAATTTTTTTTTGTCACAATAGCCTAGATTTCTTGTATTTTTTTTTATTGATTTTAAGCATTTGGTGACGAAATTTGGTTTTCCTCTCTAAAAATAATACATTTGGAGACGAAATTATTTCCTCTCTAAAATTTTTTACAATGGTGACGACAAATTTTGTCTCCAAAATGGCGCCAAATCTTCCACCAAATTTTCCAAGGGCGGGAAATTGTTTTGTGACGAAAAATAAAATTTAGAGACGAATAAATTTTTTGCCACCTATTGTTTTATTTGATTTTAAGCATTTGGTGACGAAATTTGGTTTTCGTCTCTAAAAATAATACAATTGGAGGCGAAATCTTATTTTCATCACTAAAACATACATATTTGGAGACGAAATATTTTTTCGTCACGCATTTTCGTCACCATAGACCTTTTTTGTCATAGTGTATTAAAAACACAGACAAAGGTTATGTCGTTGTATGTCTTTATGTAGATGATATGCTCATCATAAGTAGTAATAATGATATGATTAAAACTACCAAGAAAATGTTGAATAAACATTTTGACATGAAAGACATGGGCATTGTTGATGTAATTCTTGGTATGAAAATTACCAAAACATCAGAAGGATATGCTTTGTCACAATCTCATTACATTGAGAAAATACTTAACAAATTCAGCAAAGATGATGATCATCTTGCTAGAACACCTGTAGATGTTAATTTGTATCTTTTTAAGAATGTACAGGAAAGTATTTCTCAATTAGAGTATGCCCAAATTATTGGAAGCTTAATGTACTTGATGAACTGCGCTCGCCCGGATATAGCTTATGCAGTAAGTAAATTAAGTAGACATACGAGTAATCCGGGAGTAGAACACTGGAAAGCTATTACAAGGCTTCTAAGGTATCTCCGATTTACTCGTAATATTGGGCTGAATTATACGAGATATCCAGCAGTACTTGAAGGATACTGTGATGCAAATTGGATATCGGATACAATAGACTCAAAGTCCATCAGTGGGTATGTCTTTACTCTTGGTGGGGCGGCTATATCTTGGAAATCTTCCAAACAGACTTGCATTGCTAGGTCTACTATGGAATCAGGATTCACAGCTTTAGACAAAGCAGGGGAAGAGGCAGAATGACTTCGCCACTTCCTTGAAGATATTCCAATATGGCAAAAACCGGTGCCTGCTATATGCATACATTGTGATAGTCAATCAGCTATAGGTAGAGCACAAAGGCATATGTATAACGGTAAGTCATGACACATTCGTCGTCGACATAACACCGTAAGACAACTACTCTATAATGGAATTATTTCCATAGAATATGTTAAGTCTAAAGACAACATAGCGGATCCACTAACCAAAGGGTTAGCAAGAGAGTTAGTTGAGAGTTCATCGAGGGAAATGGGACTTAAGCCTATTACATAAGAGTTACCAAAAAGGCAACCCAACCTAGTTGACTGGAGATCCCAAGATCTAGGTTCAAAGGGACAACCGAGTTGTGAATGACTCAGAAGGATCACTAGGGAGTTAAACTCCTACCCATTTCTATGATGAAATGACTGCAACATTTAAGGTTAAGTAAAATTTTCATGATTCTTATATCTAGGTAAACCTAGTGGAGTATGGCAGGATACTCTTCATAAGCATCACCTATGTGAGTGTGAACTGGGCCGGTTCTGTGAGATTTGTGAAGGGCTACAATTCTCTAGAGCACTCATGAAAGACCAGGTTATTCAGGGCCAAAATGAACACAATAGTGAGAACTAAACTGTGTCTGGGAATATACTGTGTGAGTTCTATTGTCTTGGTTTACACAAACGGCTGAACAGTTCAAGACATCATATTCACTGGTTAGCTAGTAAATCCGATAGTGTCTCACAAGGGAAGGTTCAAAGCCAAAAACTACCTATCCTTTGCAGAATATTTCCTATTGTCTATACTCTTTGTAATTAGATCATGTTGTTTCATTTTCTCTCCGTCAATTCCATTCATCGTGGGGATTGTTAGAAAAATGGTTTAATTATAGGCATATTTTTTAGCCCAATTTTGAGTGGGCCCCAAACTCTTTTGGATAGGGTCCAAAGAGGTGAAGTGTTCCTTGCCGCGTGGCAAGTCACACGGTGAAGACGGAACGTCAAACATTTATGAGTGAATGGAGTTGACGTCGTTTTCCGGTCTACATTAATTTTTTAGAAAATTCATTTGAATTTTTCAATAAAAAATATTGTGGAATTTAATTTAAATTCTAAATTCAAATTTTAGTTCCTAAGTGGTTTCCTAAAATTTGTAATTGTGGGAATATAATTTAATTCTAAATTCTAATTTTGGATTCCCTGAGTGTTTCCTAAAGTTTGTACCTCTTCCTTTATTTATAAACTATTCAAAGTTTAAATAAATATATATTATATAATCCAAATAGTTATTAATAATAAAGTTCCTAACAGTTCCTTTGTTTGTCACCGCAGAACATTTTTCAAATGTTTGAATAGTAGTTGTCATGTACAACGGTCATAATTGTTTGAATTCAACTATTGCACCTGTTTTCAAAAGTGCATCTGTTCATTCAAATTGTTGTACCTATCGGGACTATGTTGCCTATAAATTGATATTCTATTCCAGCAGTCTTTGATACACTTAGAAGACATCAAAAAATCTAGTCTGAAAACTTTCCTGCTGTCAGATTTTCCTTTTGCATTATTTCTTCATTCTAGTTTAGAACCAAATATCAGGAGTTATATAGGTTTTGGTTCGCAGAAAAATTGTTTTGTATGCTACTACAAACTTTGTTAAGATCATTTGTATCACTGGGGAGACTAGACGCCACCAACCGTAGCACCATAGCGGTGGGCGAATGTCTTAAGGACAAGCTATGTCACACACTCGAGGCTTGTGTTCTAATTATTGAATTCGGTTCCAACAAAAATAAAATTTCTGTAAGTTGTTATTTTATTTTGTTTGAATATTTCAATTTATTTTATTTACACAAAGGATGTATTCCAACAGGAAGGTGATTTATTGGTGTGCAAGTTAAGGCGTTGCACACTACAAGACCTTTATATTATTTATTAGTTTTATTATTATTATTATTATTATTATTATTATTATTATTATTTTATTTTTATTTTGGTATTAACGTAGTATTAAAATAAATTAAGCATTTGAGATGTCACAGTGTAGATCTGCGATAATAGAGGTGGAAATGCGGCGGTGGTGGTGGATCTAAGATAATGGCGGTGGTGCATACATCAGCGGTGGTGATAATTGATGAATGGTGGCAGTAGTCGAACAACAACGATGGTGGTGAATAGCCACGATAGTAGTGGCGGTAGATCATGACGGTGAGAGTGGTGGTAGACGGTGAGAGTGGCTGTAACTAATGGTTGTGTGAAGTTTTTGAAAAAATGGCGAAGAGAGAGAGAGAAAAGATGAAGAGAGAGATGGTAGACAGAGAAACGTTTCTTAGAGAAAGAGATAGATTAAAATATTATTTAGGTAACAGAAAACACTCGAGTGGAAAAGGAAAAAAAACAAATGGGACAAAACTTATGTGTATAAGATTTTAAATCAAAACGTAATGGGTAATAAGTTCTATAAGTAGAACTGACCGATAATTAAGCCTATAATTTAGAACTTTTTTCCAACTTATTTAAATCTCCTAAATAAGTATGGAAAAATAACCCCATCCCCTTTGTCATAAATATAATTTTTAAAGGCATTATGTACATTTGCATAACAAAAAAACTATGTGATAGCATATTTAACCAAATAGGCCATTCTGTACATTTGCATAAAAAAAAAAAAAAAAAAAAAAAACTATGCGATAGTTTATTTAACAAAATATGCTCAACTTTGTTCACAAATTATTAACAGTTTCACCAAACAAATTTACAGTATATTTAAAAATTGTAAGCTAATAATTTAAAAAATCTATATTATGTACATGATCTAAACAAACTCAAAGGTCTTGGACCATATAACAATTAAACATGAGCTTGTCTTCTATCTGGCCTCTAACAGAGTTATAGGGACCATGTTGGCTGAACATTTTTCAATCTCTCTTCTTTCTAACTCTGCTTCAAGAATATTTCTTTCAGTGAAAAAACCAGGTTGTTTGGGGTGAGTCAGTGCACCCTCTCTGCCCAACATCAAAACCACACTCGCCATGTTAGGCCTATTCTCTGGCCGGTGTTGCACACACAATAAACCGACATGAATCGAACGCAACACTTCAGGTAGATTGCATGAGTTTTGCATTGATGCATCAATCAATTCTGTAGTTTTGCCTGCCTTGTATAATTTCCAGGCCTGAACAATTGGTAACAATTTATAAGCAATTGTTCTAATTTTCAAACAGTAATTCTAGATAAATTATACAAAATGATGGAATTGAATTGAGATCTTCCATTTTAAAAGAAATCACTTTTTTTTTTTTCTTTTTATATAATTTTCCTTCTTCAAAAGAAAAATGATTCAACTCTATATGCTTACATGCCCAAGAAGGTTGAGGTGGTGGTTTGGGTCACAAAATCCCCAGTTTCGCTTCCCACTCACCACTTCCAATACCATAACACCAAAGCTAAATATATCAGACTTTACTGAGAAGCGTCCCTCAATTGCATATTCTGGAGACATGTACCCCCTGCAAGAAAACAATGAACAAATAAACCAATTTATATAGTTAAAAGTAAAATTTTGGACTGGTTAGTAGATTCTTACAATGTTCCAACTACTTTTTTAGTATTTGCTACGGTCTCATTTCCTCCAAAAATTCTAGCCAAGCCAAAGTCTGATATTTTGGGGTTCATCTCATGATCTAGTAAAATGTTGCTAGCTTTCAGGTCTCTGTGGATAATTCTAAATCTGGAATCTTGATGAAGATAAAGAAGCCCCCGAGCAATTCCATTGATTATGTGGAAGCGCTTAGGCCAATCCAGTAGCATCTTCTTTGATTGATCTGTCCATTTTTTGCCCAAGTTAAACTAAGCTGCTAGATGGTAGTTAAGTTCTAAGTTCTAAAAGTAGAACTGACCAATAATTAAGCCTATAATTTAGAACTTTTTTTCAACTTATTTAAATCTCCTAACTAAGTATGGAAAAATAACCCCATCCCCTTTGTCATAAATATAATTTTTAAAGGCATTATGTACATTTGCATAGCAAAAAAACTATGTGATAGCATATTTGACCAAATAGGCCATTCCGTACATTTGCATAATAAATATTAGGGCCGTGCAAAATATCGTCCAATCCGCTAAAATCGCACCGATCCGCACCGTTTTAACCGCTAGCCGCGATTTAAACTTTAAAATTTATAATCCGCCAACCGAACCACTCCACTCCGCTATAGTTAATACATATATATTTTTTCACTTCCAATAAAATATCAATGTAAAAATGAGTGTGAGAGAGATTTAAGATATGAAATTTATTACAAATTAGTGGTTATATCTGTGAAACATATTATGTAACATTACTTTGTGTTATATATCTAAAAAATATTATACAAATTAGTGTTATATATTATGCAAATGTATGATAATTAGTTATAATATTCTTCAATCCGCCAAAAACCACCCAAACTGCAATTTGTCAATCCGCTAATCCGCTAACCCACCATTCGGTTTGTAATTTTACTCTCAAACTGTCCAAACCGCACCTCCCACACCCCTAATAAATATATATAAAAAAAAACCTATGCGACAGTTTATTTAACAAAATATGTTCACCTTTGTTCACAAATTATTAACAGTTTCACAAAACAAATTTACAATATATTTAAAAATTGTAAGCTAATAATTTAAAAAATCTATATTATGTACATGATCTAAACAAACTCAAAGGTCTTGGACCATATAACAATTAAACATGAGCATGAATTGTCTTCTATCTGGCCTCTAACAGAGTTATAGTGACCATGTTGGCTGAACATTTTTCAATCTCTCTTCTTTCTGACTCTGCTTCAAGAATATTTCTTTCAGGGAAAAAACCAGGTTGTCTGGGGTGAGTCAGTGCACCCTCTCTGCCCAACATCAAAACCACACTCGCCATGTTAGGCCTATCCTCTGGCCGGTGTTGCACACACAACAAACCGACATGAATCGAACGCTACACTTCAGGTAGATTGCATGAGTTTTGCATTGATGCATCAATCAATTCTGTAGTTTTGCCTGCCTTGTATAATTTCCAGGCCTGAACAATTGGTAACAATTTATAAGCAATTGTTCTAATTTTCAAACAGTAATTCTAAATAAATTATACAAAATGATGGAATTGAATTGAGATCTTCCATTTTAAAAGAAATCACTTTTTTTTTTTTCTTTTTATATAATTTTCCTTCTTCAAAAGAAAAATCTTCTTAGTGGATTGTTTTGTGGTTGTTGCCCGTGGTTTTTTATCACAGTTGGAGATGTCCAATTGTGGTTTTTTCCACGTAAAATCGTTGTATTTCTTTGTCTTGTTTGTTTGATTGTTTGATTGGGATTGCTATATTCTGTTTAAAATTGATACATAATCACAAATCAACATCTAGGGGATTTCTAGATTTTTCAAACTCTATATGCTTACATGCCCAAGAAGGTTGAGGTGGTGGTTTGGGTCACAAAGTCCCCTATTTCGCTTCCCACTCACCACTTCTAATACCATAACACCAAAGCTAAATATATCAGACTTTACTGAGAAGCGTCCCTCAATTGCATATTCTAGAGACACGTACCCCCTGCAAGAAAACAATGAACAAATAAACCAATTTATATAGTTAAAAGCAAAATTTTGGACTGGTTAGTAGATTCTTACAATGTTCCAACTACTCTTTTAGTATTTGCTACGGTCTCATTTCCTCCAAAAATTCTAGCCAAGCCAAAGTCTGATATTTTTGGGTTCATCTCATGATCTAGTAAAATGTTGCTAGCTTTCAAGTCTCTGTGGATAATTCTGAATCTGGAATCTTGATGAAGATAAAGAAGCCCCCAGGCAATTCCATTGATTATGTGGAAGCGCTTAGGCCAATCCAGTAGCATCTTCTTTGATTGATCTGTCCATTTTTTGCCCAAGTTAAACTAAGCTGCTAGATGGTAGTTAAGTTCTCTGAGTACATATGCAAAATGATTACATTAAACAAAAACATAATAATTTTGCATTGGAGTAAGTCTGCTAGATTAGGACACATGTTAAGAAGTTAATTAGTATGACCTTCATCCTTAGATTCATAAAATGGAAAGGTTACAATTGAAGGGGGCATAAAAGACAAAAATGTCACCGGTTGGTAAAGTAGAAGTGCCTCCGTTTTGGCTATGAACCTCACAATTCATCTTTTACAATGGGACAATAGTCACAGTATTGCTCCATTATGAAGTAGAATGAAACGAGATAAAGGTTCTAAGAAAGCCATACCGAAAATAAAGGAGTCCAAGCTATTGTTGGCCATGCATTCATATATTAACAACCTTTCTCCTCCTTGAACGCAGTATCCTAGAAGCTTTACAAGATTTCGATGCTGAAGCTTGGCAATGCAAATAATTTCATTCTTGAACTCATCGACTCCTTGTTGCGAATTCTTCGAAAGCAACTTAACAGCTATTTCATGTCCACCTTCCAGCATACCCTGAAAATTGAGAACCATTTTGTTTGTCAGGTGCAATATGTTTCCATTGAAAGAAGCCACATTTATTTTTCTGTATTTTTCCTTCGTGTTTTTTTTCTTCAGTATAATGTTTGTTCGAAAAATTCTATAATTCACACCTCCAAAAAGGTGTATCATATGTTCCAGTTAGAAAGTTTATGATCTTTGGTTATGACCCATTGTATTGTTGGTTATGACTTGGTTATGATTCAATGTGGTGTTGGTTATGACTTAGTATATAACCTATTGTGGTTTGTATTTTGATTATAACCGAAGAGGTCTTTGGTTATGCCTCAAGTGGAGTTTCGTTATTGTGGTTGTTGTTTTGGTTATGACATAAGAGATTTTTGGTTATGTTTCAAGTAGTGTTTGACACCTCTTTTAAAGGGCCCAATGTTTGTTTCTGCCCCATGCTTAGCAGAACGTCTATGTTGAAAGTCATTCTACATCATATTTCATTGGAGGTAGTTCAGACAATAAAACTCTTATTAAATGCAAATGTGTGCTTATTAAATTTTTTAAAATGTAGAGTAATCAATTCTGAGTGAACATAATGGGAAGTTTTGAGAAACAAACTGATGAATGATTGAATTAGGCACCTACCTTGTAAACTGGTCCGAAACCACCTCTTCGAGCTTATTGTTGATTGAAAAGTTATTTGTGGAATTAACTATTACAGCTAAGTTGAACAATGGTAACTCTAGATCTACCATTTGGCTTTTGTCAGTGTGACCTTGTTCAGAGTTGTGCATCAGATTTCCTGCAAAGCCAGGGATGAATGGATATCAATATGACAACTAGTTCCAAAAATGTAACATACCATTACAAAGTTCGCCAAGAATGACATACATGGGATATATACCTTCTCTTCTTAGCTGTGAATTATTCCTATTCCTTTTTCGGAGATACACGATTACCCAGCAGAAAAAGTCCAATTAAAAATGCCAAGGTCACTGCTACTATCTTTCTTTTCTTGCCATTCAAGCTGACTTGTGTTCCATCGATCAGTTAGATAATATGATCATGAAAGCACAAACTTAAAGGGATTGATTTCAATTTCAAACCCTTGATAACGTTCTATATTTTGAAATTATTATGGAAAAAGGGATGAGAAAAGCTAAAACAAAACAAACACACAAGCACACAAGAATTTGCAGGCTTATGCAGATTGAGGCTTTGCTTTCTAGCCAATATTCCCCAAATACTTGAGCATCACAGTCTAAGGTGTTCGCCTCAGGTGCACTTTGTATGCCTTTTGCACGTAAGCATATGAAGAGCTTGTTAGGCTCTTGTTAAACTTAGTCTAGTAGATTGTGACAAAATACTTGAGCAGAGGTCACAGGAGTGACAGTCAGAACAGAGGTACAGATTCAAGAGGTGGCTCGTACGAATTATAGAGGTGGCTTCCACAATAGTGTAGCACTTATTTCCGCACAACACTTTGCTCCACACCAGAAATCAGAGGGTCAATGGATCCATGACAAACAGAGAGTCACAAAATGACCAAACAGAAGCCAATGGTTATTTAAGTCTCCCAAGGCGTGGGACTCCCGTGGTGGTACTTACAAAATATAATTGTTTATAAGGTTATAATCAAATATTCTTTAAAATATAAACAAATATATCCATGTGTTTCATTTTAACAAATAGAGTTCAGAAAATAATCTACGTAATTGAAATATTAATATAATTAATAATAATTTATAAAACATAACTTGTATAAAACAAATATGGTAAGTCAAAATATACATAAAATATATTATGGTAACCCAAGGTATAATATAACTCACTCTACCATGTGCTTATAGTTGTTTACAAATTTTCAGGAAACAATGTAATTCAGAAATAGCTTTTGGAAAGTTTTAGACGCGGGGCTACGAAATAGATACACACAACACTTTTATGATATTTTTATATGTAAATATCGGTCTTTTGGTCAATAAATTTTGTAATAAAAATAGAAATTCCAATGATTATTTTGGCACCCTCACTTAAATATTATTTCTGCTCGCGTTTATTAATTTGTTCAAGAATTGGCCGGAGGTAACTTCAGTTACTGGCCATCACGATACTTAACCCTTGGGTACAGGGAGCGGGTCGTGACAAATGGTGTCAGAACAATGGTTTATAAAAAAATAAATAAATCATCATTGGAGTATAAGACACACACACATTTAAGAAGTAGGATAGTGGGTAATTAGTACCTAAATATTATATTTTGTTAGTTTATTTAATTATATTATAATTTTATATGATTATATATATATATATATTTGTTTGTGCCTAATTTGCGAAGGATATTAGATATAATTTATATTTGTTATAGTAAAAGAAGGAAAAGAAACAAAGGGTGTCGAGTTCAAGCACCCACCAAAATTATAATATAATTAAATACATATAATTTCCAGTTCAGTATTAAAAAAAAAAATCATTTCGATTTTTTTTAAAAGTGAGTTCAAATTTTAAAAATACTAATTTTGAAACTATTTTCCATCAGTGGAAAGTTCATGAATAAAAGAAATGGGAGTTCATCTCAAATTCCTTCAATTCCTGCATATGATTCTATCATGTCACTTCCAGTCGCTTGTTTGATTGTGTTCTCATTTTATTTTTTATTTTTTTTCTTCGGAAATAAAACTAATGAAAAGTTTTTAAAGTCATCGATTGTTTCTCATTTTGGCCCAAAACAAATTTTGACAATTAGACAGTGAGTTGTTTTTAGTAAAAATTCTTCTTTGAGGTAATATTTTCTATCAGATTAATCATCAAATATATATTTATCAGAGTGCGCAACAGATAACTTACACATATGACAAATTTCGAGGACGAAATTTTTAAAAGGAGGGAAGATTGTAATAACCCAAAAATTTAAATAGTCCTTTAAATTTTATATTAGTATTATTTAATTATAAATGATTTCAAAAAAATAATTTTAACTTTATATTATTATTCGATATTATTTTCTGAGTGTTATGATATTTTTATTATATTTTTCCTAAATTAAAATACACTGAAATGTAACATTTTCGGTACAACTACGATGCGGGCCCCCAAGTTGCTTGCTGCCTACGCCTTGTCACCTATATATATAAGGATAAACATCATGTCCCAATAACACTCTCTCTCTCTCTCTGCCTCTAAGTGTTTTGTTTTATATATAAAATTTTGAATTTAGTTTGAAGTATCTACTAAATCGCAGTGAGCAAAAGGTAAAAGTTGAAATTAAAGTTAAGATGAGTTATATTATACCTTAAGTTACCATAATATATTTTACATATGTTTTGACTTACCATATTTGTTTTATACAAGTTATGTTTTATAAATTATTATTAATTATATTAATATTTCAATTACGTAGCTTATTTTCTGAACCCTATTTGTTAAAATGAAACACATGGATATGTTTGTTTATATTTTAAAGAATATTTGACTATAACCTTATAAACAATTATGTTTGTATGTACCACCACGAGAGTTCCACGCCTTGGGAGACTTAAATAACCATTGGCTTCTATTTGGTCATTTTGTGACCCTCTGTTTGTCATGGATCCATTGAGCCTCTGATTTCTGGTTTGGAGCAAAGTGTTGTACGGAAATAAGTGCTACACTATGGTGGGAGCCACCTCTATAATTCGTACGAGTCACCTCTTGACCTTTGTTCTGACTGTCACTCCTGTGACCTCTGCTCTGCTCTGTTCTGTTCGGCATCGTGGTATGATTATTTATTTACATAATCTTAGTTTTGCTACTTAAATGATTATTTGTTCAGACTAAGTTATCCTAAATATTTTAGTTACATAACTATCCATGGTTATTTTATGTCCTTTATACTCTTGGTATAATATTTCTTACTTTGCCATGTGCTTATAGCTGCTTACAAATTTTCAGGAAACAATACAATTCAGAAATAGCTTTTGAAAAGTCTTAGACGCGGGGCTGCGAAATAGACACACACAACACTTTTATGATATTTTTATATGTAAATATCGGTCTTTTGGTCAATAAAGTTTGTAATAAAAATAGAAGCTCCAATGATTATTTTGGTACCTTCACTTAAATATTATTTCCGCTCGTGTTTATTAATTTGTTCAAGAATTGGCCAGAGATAACTTCAGTTACTGGCCATCACGATGCTTAACCCTTGGGTACGGGGAGCGGGTCGTGACACCATCCGTATTAGTTTTGATGGTTTTACTTTACTAAAAGGGAAATTAACGTAATTATGGCAAACTTGTATGATTAAATTGTATTTTTGTCAAATTTCAGAAGTGGTGAATATAGCGATCCCGGGTTTACCCTTGTTGTACAGTGATCCGGACATGTGTCTGTCAAATTTCAGAAGCGGTGAATGTAATTTACCCAGATACAATTACATAAGACCATCTTTAATGGTTCATCAAATCCATCATCAAATTTAAATTTAATGAAAAAAGTTACTTTTTGCGCCTCCAACGGTTCATCAAATCCAGAATTTCACTTTTCTTTCATCAAACTGGGGTCAATATGCCTTTCATCAAATCACTGTTCATTCGGTTAGATTTTCACCATTAGATGTTGCCCGGATGACCACCTCAAGGCAAAAATTTGTGAAAAAATTACACTAGCCGATCGTCTGCCCAGCCGACCGGTGATTTGATGAAGCTACAAAACCCTACGTTGGAACACTTGATATTAAAGGGAGCTTTTACTCAAATTTGGTAAAAAAATTGATGCAAAGATGCCCTAAGAAGAGTCTATGAAACCCATATCACACAACATTGTCCAATGTCGAACAAAAATATTTGATTTATTTTGAGAGTGCATATAACATAGGTTATAATCACATAAATTACTCAGGCTAGTCTTTCAAATTTTTTGTTCTTTCTTGAAATCAGCAAAGAGAAGATGAATCAGAACATAACAAGAGCACACCTTTCAAAATCATATGCTAAAAACCCACAAAACACCCAACTATATGCAAAACACCCAAAAACTACACGAAAGCAACCCAATATACTGAC